AAATGTCATGAATATGGTGCTACCACACTGGAGCAGTACCTCACAATACAAGCTAATGGGAGAGCACAACAAGTCTTACAGATGAGCTCCCTGAAGTTTGTTACTTCTCAGGGAGTCATCACCTGTTCCATCTGCCACTATTGGACTTATATAGTCAAGTGCTAGTCCTGTGCTTTCCCAGCCTGCCACATCTGTAGAGCAACATTTCCTTAAAGTGATGGAAAACATATCTGGAAACGTGACAAAGTTGAAAACTCAGGTTAAACAGATGAGAACAGATCAGGAACAATTAAAACTTTCACTTACCTCTACACCTCACTGGTCAAAGAGAATCACTGAAGCTACTCCAGACCTTTATGACTATTGCCTTAACACATCCCCATATCTCTTTCCACCCTGTTGCAGATCTCCTGAATGCTCATCACCTCATGCCCAAGTCACCAGGCCCTCCAAGCCATAACAGCAGATTCAGATATCACTACTGTCAACCTGCCCCACCATATTACAGGGATGAATGTGTCTGCTCAGAATTTCATACCCCCAAAACTGCAATGCTCATGGAAAACCTGTCTCAACCAGACACTCCTCACATCCTTGACATGTAGCTTCCTCCCCCAAGAAAACAGCTGAAGTTAGTCTACAGTACTCAAGTAAATCACAGCGTCCACTGACATTATCATTCTTTGTTGTACATATGAGTAGTCACACTAGACAGAAACAACATTCCAGTTTGTTACAGGATGACTTGCCATTACTTACAGGTAATCTTCCATCTGTACAGCACAGTCACCCTTACCTACAAAAGGATCAACACCAACCACCTGCCCCACCCCCTGACACAATTTACTACCAGGTTGTAATTCCTAAAGCAGTGAAAACTACCAAACTGGAATTTATCCATGGCCACCCATCCATTTGTCTCATGGACACAGAAAAGATTTTGCAAGATGCTTGATTGATTTGGTACTGGCCAGTCATGTATCAGGAAATTGAAAGATTTAGCGTGAACTGCCTTGTTTGCCAGTCACAACATTCACCTGCTCCCATAGACATGAACTTTTGTTACCAATGTTGCTTGACATTTTTTAAAGATAGCAGCAGACATCACAGAGCTTCCGCCTTCTTCAAGAGGCAATTGTTATGTTTTAGTAATAATGGAATACTTTACAATTCAAGACCAATAAACCAGTGTCAGTTTGATTAATATCATGGATAACATAGTGTCCCTAATGCTATTCATACTGACCTAGCTTGCCAGTTTGGGTTACCTTGCACGTGAACTCTATGGTCTGCTGGACATAAAACACTAACCAGCCCATACCAGACCATGGCATCACAGTCTGGTTAATTCCTTATATGTTATTGTGTTGTAGTGGTGTACTGATCCAGAGATAGATTAGAAAAATGTAAAAGTCTGCTGCATTTTTTTTCCAGATATGAACTGAGTACTATATTTATATTGAAAGGACCTATGGGAAGGTACCTAGGCAGACAGTTTTTAATTCACTTCCTGCCCCTTTTCTGCTGCAAAAACACCAGTCTTAATGACTGTGTAGGCAATGTTACATGGACAGGTATGTGAACACTGTCATAGTGCCAGCCTGGAGCTCTGGCTTAAACCCATATTAAAAACACTATGGGACATGGAGGATTGTGTCCAAAATATTAGATACATCAAATCAACTTTTAAAAGTGAAAATATCATCATTTTAAAAGAATGCTTTATGGAATCTGTCTTCTGATAAGATATATTCAAGTAAAATGTATCTATCCATTTTCTAAACTGCTTTATCTATTACAGTATCTAGTAGGGGTGCCACAGCCTATCCTGGTAAGCAACTGCTATTGCAAGGTAGGATAGACACTGGATGCTAGGCCATCGCAGGGCAGACATGGACGCAAACACGCACTGAAATAGGATACAAAGGAAACTATTATTATTAAGTGTTGTTGTTGTTGACGTTGTCATCTGCACCATTATTGTTTACACTGATACAAAATTGATATCACTCTAACTGTATTAATTTACTTGGTTGACACTTTTTCCAAAGTACAGATTTTATGATTTCCTTCTGTTTACATATGAACCTTGGTACTAATTTGTACGCTGGCTAACTTCACACAGATAAACTGCATTTACAGAAAAGTTATAACTATGTGTTGATTCTTTAGATTTCCAAATTATACATGAGAACATTAAACCTTTTGATCCATCTAGCTCATCTGTTTTCCTGTAAAAAACACGTGAGCTACTGTAGATGCTACTTGATCCAGGACTTGTATCCAGACATTTTTTGAAGGAAACAGGGCTATAAGTTTCAACAGAATGTCTGGGCAGTTATTTCATACTCTTACAACCCTTTGTGCTAAATCAACATGTCCTGTCCACTTGTGTTCTCTGGTTCACATTTCACTGTTGATTCTGAAGAAGTTCGTTGGTTGACTTTGCCGGTGCCTTTGAGGATTTTGATTACTTGAATCAGCTTGAAGACAAGTAGTGTTGTCTGCTGAAGACTAAAAAGGTTACATTACATTTGCCTGGCAGAGTTGGATATTTCTTTGAGCCCCAGAACATACTGTATCTTATTGCACTTCTCTGAACTGATTCCTGTATCTTGGTGAAGGAAGTTATATATAGCATTCTACTCTTGCATTATACAATTTTAACGTCACATCCTTTGATTAACATTTTGCACTTTTATATGATTGAAAATGATGAGTCTCCACAAACACTGTAAACTCCTAAGTCATTTCCATAAGTAGACTCTTCAAAATTGGTGATTACAATGCTACAGTATATTTGTATTTTATATTTTTCTGCTTGGGTGCAAAACCCTACACTTATCTAAATTAAATGTCATTAAGTGTTGCATAAGCTAAGTGTTTGCTAGTGTCTTAATATGGCCTAGATTTATTTGAATTTCTTTTACTGCTTTTGCTTCAAAGGTGTTCACCAATGCTCCTAGTATAAGAAGTGAATATGATTAGTGCGCTAATGCTAATTATACCAGAATTACTCAAATAAATTAGGAAGAGCAGTGAAAGTAAGGTCAATGATCCGGGATCCTTGACATAGTCCCTTAATTACATCACCCCAAACTGAGCACTTACCCTTTGTCTGTAGCATGTTTCTTGTCCATCAACCATTATTAATTCAAGTACAGCATTACCCTGAATGATTGCTACCTGCAATTTAATATTACATATTTTATTAAGATTTTAATCAAGAGCCTTTTAAAAATTTGAATATACCATATTACATGTTCTCTGTGTGGCTAGCAGTACTCTCAAGTTACTTAAGCATGGCCTACCTTTTTGAAAACCATGCTGACTATCCCACTGGATTCTATTTCCATAAAAATGATCCTCTAAATTTAATGAGATTTAATTACATTTAATCAATTTAATTTCTAAAAACATTCCAGTATGTTTTATAACTGTTGGAAAAAACAGCACCCAAAGGAAACCCATGCAAACACAGGAGAACATTCAAACTCCACTTAAATAGTACCCCAGGTCTGGAATTAACCCAGGCCCCCAGCGCTGTGAGACAGCAATGCTAACCACTACACCACCATCACACCCATTTTCATAACCTTACATGAAAAAGGGGTCAGACTAATTGACTTTTTTATATATATTCTTTATATATATACACAATTTGTATTACTGTTTATTTTTCTTGAGTTACAATTTGAAGAATTCAATTTATCTATTTTTTCCTTAATTAAAATTGGCAAAATATCTTCAGGCACTGGGGATTTGTTTATAGTAAGTGCCTCTAGTAGCTGTTCTAGTAGGTGACTCTCCAGAGCTTATACAATTTAACATGGAACTCAGTCCTTCCAAAGCCTGAGGCAGTCTGTTAATTTTTACTTGGTGAACACCTGAATGAAACATTAATTTAGGAAATAAGCCATTTACTTTTCACCGTCTTAAAAGATCTAGTTATTATTCTGAATTTATATTACTTCATCCTTTACTGTTCTTTTTCTGTTGTAAAAGCCTCTGTTGCTGTATTATTTTCTGTCTCACTCTTGAACTAATATCATTTTTATACGTGCTTATAATTCAATATATTTTGTTTAACTGAATCCTATTTTTAGAAAACTAAAAAGTGCTGTCTTTCTCCTTATATTTTTCTTAATTTTTCAAACCAATTGAAACACTGCTTTCTAGCCTTTAGTATTTAAAATTAGTATTGGAATTAATGTATTCTGTGTTCAAGTACAGCTTTAAACAAATTCCACACTTTTACGGTCGCTCCGATGTCTTTTAGAGGTAAAAAGTAGTACTGCCCTAATAAGCATCAAATGTCTTGTTCCGGGTAACTTGCTTTTATTAAACCAAACTTCATAAAACTACGAATTTTACCTTCCAAATGTGTCCAATTCCAACATTTAACAGACCATAAACCTGATTTACAAACGTGGACATAACAAGAACTCCATAAGCGACTTAAAAATCTAATTTGTCTCACCAAATTATCGGGCTACCACATTTGAACATTTCTGAAGATGTGGAGCCTCTGTCAACGGGGTGGGGGTTTGCAATGGGAGGTTGTTCTACCAGTTTTTTTATATCTAGGATTATCATGTTTAAACATTCAGAAGAGAGAACACTCGACAACGGTGGTATTTGGTATTTGCATCAGTATCTAATACTATTCGAGAACTACAAAACTGGATGTATAGTAACCTTACTGAAATATTACATTATTTTGAAATAATCTCTATCAGATAAACTTTTGAATATAAACATATAAATATAGCAATTAAGCGACTTAAATTAAACTTATCAGAAAACGTCTACTTTCTATTTTGCTCCTTGTGAAAATCTTCTTTGCTGGTCAGGTGACCCGTAATTAGTTTGAGCTGAGACCCTTGTGTTTGCGCATGCGCTGTTTTTCAAACGCACGCCGGCCGTAGGTGAAACTTCTAACTTCCGCCCTTCCCGCCTTGAATGCTCAAACTAAAATGCGTAACTAAGATAAACAGTGACGACATGCGTGAGCTACACCTGTTTTAGCGAATCACATTCCCGCTACTCTAAAATGACAAGGATCTTTGCCCAATCACCGCTGACACAATCCCCACGTTGGCGGGTTTGGTAAGGACGCGGGATTTTTCAGATTAATGTCAGAGTCAATTTCATTCTCTGCAGGTAGATTAGCCTTTTGTGAAAATCTGTGTTTCCTTGTTTGTGAATTATAAGGATTTTGTTGTGTAACATTATATGTTGGATGAGAAAAAAAGAAGACGACGACGAAGTAAAGCCGAAAACCTGTTTGCTTTTAGTTTTTCCTGAAGAGCAACTAGTTGATTGAGAGATTTCTGTGAAATCCTTTGGTAGAGCATACCGGGAGCCGACTTGGTTGCTTGTGGATATCTAAATATAACAACGTTACATTCCCTTTGAAATAATATGTGCTAGGAATAAAACTTATAACACTGAGGGGTTTGTTGGATATTATGGATAATTACCATCACCAGCGTTATGATCCTTCAGCCCATGGAAGGGAAAACAAATTCAGTCGAAAGAAAGTTTTTTCCGGGGGAGTCGGTACAAGTTCCCAAGGAGGGTCTTCAGGACAGCATGACGAAGGGCAGAGAAAGCCTAAATTCGTAAGTATGGGCTTCTTTATTTAGGGACGTTCCTTGTTATTGTAGAACAAAAGATACTAAAGTGAAAGAAATTGCTGTTGGCAAAAACCGACGAATCATTGTAGCTTTCTTTTCTGCGTTGTTCTGTAATAGTTTTGAGGTGCCGAGGCCAGTTTCTATTAACGCATTCAAGGTTTGTTTTTTTTTCTTGGGTTTTCACTTTAGGTGTTTGCTGTTTAAGAGTGGTATAGTGATAATTAATCAGGGAAAATATGATTAATATTATCAGTATTATAATTATTCATACTTCAGATTAAATATTTATATTAACAATTTTCCAACGCCAGTCCCAGGCCTAAATGTCGTACATTTCTTGTGCTGGAATAAAAACATTTCAGACCCTCATTCCATTGAAACAAGTTAGAAGAAATAGCGTTCGTATACGTACCTGCTCCTAAAAGACCGCTGTTTTAGAAAGTCTCGAGTTAATTACACACCATACACACTTTTTAAAAATGCAACACTAATGCGTTCACACATTTTGATTTGATACACTGTGACAGCGTTTTACTTTGCTTAACGTTTACACAGCTGAAGGAAGTGGCTTCTAATTGTCAGGGCTTCGTGTAATTGATTTAAAATAGAAAGAACACAGTAGCCTGTATATACAGGCATACAAGAATCTCAGGTGCCCGATGTGGCGCACCAGAGCTGAATGCTATTTAGTTCTAGCTTTAAAACGCATTGAATTTGAAATACGTTCAGTGCTATAATGAGCAAGCAAGACTTTAACACATATGCTTGCTTACATTCCTGAAAATAATATCTATATACCAATATATGTTGTTCAGAGAGAGTTTATTATTTAGTTAAGACTTAAGAAAAAAAACACAAATACATAAAAAACAGCTAAACAACAGCCAGACAAAACAGCCAAAACTTGCTTATGCCTTTTTACAGTTCTCTTGTTGAGATAAGAAACTCCTACAGAGTTTATTTTTGACAACCTTTATGAAATTGCAAAGCTAACACAAGGCTGTAGCTCTGTAACAGTCAAAGTGGGTGGAATCAGACTAAATATGTACTGTACAAAGTTGCCTATATGACTCATTAAATAGTTGAATCCTCACAGGGAGCAACTCTTGAGCACAGCCGCCCTTTTCTGATTAACTGAAATAAACTGGGCTCTTTGCTTTTGAAAAAGACCTGAGTAACTGCTGTTTTTTTTCAAAATCCCCATAATTAGTAACGGTCTTAATGAAATTTACTGAGCACATGAGGGGGGCAATCAGTGTTTCATTGCAACGGAATATTTTGGCATGTTAAATATTTATTTTGGTGCAATACTTGTTTTGATTGGTTAATATTTTAAAAGAATGCCGTGGAGTGAAAAGTGGCCTTTTTTTATAAGGATGTAAACGTTTTCCTTTTCCAAATAGATGTTTTGTAGTTATTTATTTAAAACTTTATAATTATAAAATGTGAAGAAATCACGTTTATAACTGGATAGCAGTATCGAAAAGATGCTCAGAAATGATATGGTGAATTATGTTATTTGTAGGATATGTAATAAAAATCTTTTACTGGTGTGTTCCATGAAATGTACTGTAAATTTTGTTCCAGTAGAGAAATGGCTTATTTTTTTTAATTCTCTGTTGAAGGCTTTGCTGGTTGTACTGCTCATTTCTCTTAGACTCTTAGCTCATTCAAAATGTAAAATTAGCAGGGGGAGGCAGATTAGTGGAGTTTAATCCTGCAACATTTCCGTGATGACCTGGCTGGTTGTAATGTGTCTGAGCTTCACTTTGTTGAGCTCCAAGCAGATCTACGAAGATGATTGCTCTACCTAGTCTGAGTCCTTGCTAAGCTACTAGGATGTTCGCTCAGGATTTTGTGCTGATGTTTTTAATCAGACTTGGTATAAACAACTACTTGAAAAAATGTAATGTTTTTTTTATATATGATATAAAGTACCCAGATCTCTTTGCCTCTGGCAAAGGCAAACAGATCTAGGTTCTTTGGAGGAATGCTGTACCGTGCCTGCAGCAGAGTTAAAGATTTTGTAAGAATTTTGACATGTAACTGTCATGGGTGGTAATAAAAAGGAAATAGCGTGCTGAATGTAAGTTTTTTGTAGTATCTGTTAATGAAATCTGATATCAGTGCTTTTACCTAATGCCAGTGGGAGCTGTCTTTGTGATCTTAATCTTTTAAAGTTTATATTTCCTGAATACAGAAGAACATTAAATACAAAAGGTATGTTTTTATTTACTGGTTAACTAGGGAAAAGTGATAAAATATTTTTAAAATATCAGCATAAGATGTTTTTCTTTAAACTACTTAATGGGGAAAAAAAATCACTTGAATCAGTGGGCAAAACTGAATGTTTCAAAGTGTTGAGTTTTTTTTTATTTAAAGGTGACCTGTGGCTCTCCAGGAACAGGTTGGGCTAATCCAGCCTTAGGTCACCTTGTGTAGTTATGGACAAACTGCAGAACGGTGTTGTTCCAAAGAACTTTAATTCTTTAATTCTATGAAACCCAAAAATACTCCAGCTATGTTAGATGCTTGAAAATGTGACTTTGTGTGAAGTTATTAGCAATAGTCATATTTAGTTTTGAACAGTTCTTTCAGAATTATATAAAATGTCAAGTACAGATAAGTTATAGCAATACTGACATGTCTTTGCTATTTGCGTAGTACTGGTAATTTTTAGTAATTTTCTAACCAAAGGGAGAAATATATTGTCTGAGAGAATTAAACGTTTTGTTTTACTGTTAAATACATTACAGTAACCCCCCAAAATTAAGACCTCTTTTATGTTGGAGTAAACAACATGCCAAGATTGTTATGGTTGTTTTTGAGCTCCATCTATTCTTCAGAAAGATTAAAGTGGTTGATGTTATGCACCCTGAAACTAAGAGGAAAATGATGCTTTTTTTTGTACACTTCTTAAGCATGTAACTATATAAAGATGATTAATCTTGCATAGCTGTAAACTTCCTCTATTTTATTTTCTGCAATAGATGAAGTACTTTGTTGCTTACTTTTGGCTCAGTTGTCATGACTTTGACTTTGATACAAATGGTTATTGTTGTCATAGTGAATTTAAATAATTCCTAGGGTAAAACAGTCATTCTCAAAAACTACTCAGTCTTCTAACTTGATAAGTTTTCCTTTTACATAAAAATAAAAAAAGCTCAATCTAAACTCCAGCAGTTGTTAGTTTGTATTTCATTATAACTGCTTCTCAAAGTAGTAATTTGAATCTGTTATGTTGTAAATGGGTAATTTATGCTGCTTTTCCATGTTTAGTTTTTAAAAATGTAACAATGTTTCTTAGCCATAATCTGTAAAACACTTTTGCTATTAGAATTATTTTAGATTTTAATATTTAGATGTGTAGAAAGGTAGAAAGTAAAGAACTAAGTGAAAATATGTGATTGAAAGCAGTGTTTAGAATTTTCAGCTCGAATATGATTTTTTATTTAGTTTGGGTGATGGGTATTATTCATCCTTGATTTAATAAAACAGTCAATAACACATATGAAGCAAATTGATGTTTTTAAGTGAAGGCAGTCCATCATGTTGTAATTTTTTTCCTTCTGTGACATCCTTCCACAGAAAGTAGTGGAATTGGCCGTATCAGTAGATTGTGCCATATTTGAGTAATCCCCCACCCCCCAGCTTTGAACTGTGGGTCAGATTTTTGCTTTTCATTTTCTGATTTATACGTCTTGTAATATAGTAATGAATCTGGCAGATTTATGACTTCTCTCTGTCTTTGTGATGGGATGGTGGTGTGAAATGGAGCGTAGTTTTAATTAAATTCATAATTTGGACAGATGACATTGGTATAGACTAACAGAAGTCATTCTTTCAGAGGTGAAGTTTAAAATGTGAATGTGGACTAGACCTTTTGCTGAAGGTCTGAAGTGCGGAAGTGGGTCTGTACTTGATATACCCCCTTAACATATTGTGAATATTCTGTCTGGGGTCCTGGAGAGATTTATACTAGGTGCGTTGAGTTAAGCTATAAATAAGCCACTCACACGGTTTACATCAAACTTAGAAATGCATTCAAAATTCTGTAAGAAGTAGAGAATTTATAAAGCAGCTGATTGTCTGAAGTATGATAATAAAGTATTGCAAGGTAACTTCACCTTTACCCCAATTTTTGTCTACATTTCACACATCAGCTCTTGGAGAGTCTTTGTATTTTTGGAAGAAGGTAAACATTTGTTGACCACCACTTTTGATAATCAAAAGTCCTTGATCTTTTTTTGTACAATGTGTAAGGGAGGTGTTATTTACATTAGGCAAGTGGCTGCACCACGACGTGTCATTCTTGCTCGAATTAACCTATTGGTATTTGTCGTTTCTGTTTGAAAAGATTATCTTTTCAATCTTGGGCCCATACAGTAAAACCTTGATATTCTCAATGATTTTGTACCTTGAAGTCTCTGTGAATGAGGGGAGGTCTAATATTGGATAAATGCAATGAGTGTATTGAAATTATTAATACACAACCTGAGCTGTTTATTGTAAGTACATTCCTACCTTGTCTCCGATCTGTCTTTCAGAGACATCCTCCTCTTTATTAAATGAACAAGAACATAAAACTACAGTGCCCTCCAGAATTATTGGCACCCTTGGTAAAGATGAGCAAAAAAGGCTATGAAAAAATGTCTTTGTTGTTTATCAGCTTGACTTGGCTTGGATGACTAAGGGTGTTTGGCCTGTGTATCACCTCATATTTATAACCCAGTAAAACAGGAAGTCATGGATGACCACTGAAAAGTTCCTAAAGACTCAGGTGTGCTTAAAAAAGGTAAGATATGAATGGGAATATATGTCAATGATTGTGTTCATAGGAAGTTCTAGGGGTGTCATTAATTGTGATGCATGTTTTTTTACAAAATTGTAAAAAGGATTTTTTTCTTTGAATAATTGTACCTCACTGAAAGGTTAGATTTCTCTCATTTTCAGTGTAAGATCAAGCTGATAAACAACAAAGACAT